ATATCTATATTATAATATGTATATTATACTTATTATTTATGTTATATCTATGATAGAAAAGAAGATGAAAAAAACCTGGTGACCTAAGGTTTGACCTTAACAAAGAAAATAATAATAAAGATACCGAGTCAACAAAAGAGAGACAATAAATAAAATGAGAGTCAACATCAGGTTCTTTGATAAGATCAGTAATACTGACAAATCTGAAACTGAAAAGAAAATAAAACATGCAAATCTTCAGTATCAGGAATGCAATTCTCACCCAAGCTCCTACAAACATTAAGGAAGTAGAGAAGCCGGAAGTGATGGAGCATGCCTGCTACCTCAGCACTCTGAGAGGAGGAGGCAGGAAGGCCTCAAGCATGAGCCCTAGGCCTAAAGACTTCCCTGGTAAATTACACAAGAAGAAACTAACACCAATCTGAATATAAACTTTGTCAGAAAATAGAGAACGATCATTAATCTCTTGTTTCATGACTGTGTTAGTTGATATATTGTGTCAACTTGGCTGAATCAGCTGCTGCAGATCTCAGCATGGGGGCCTAGCTCAGCAGGTGGGCAGGGCCCAGGAATTGAGAAAGGCAGGAAGCTGCCCTGCCTGGTTTCCTGCCGTCCTGCCCTGCTCCCATGGAGAAGGCTCAGTCTTTGGAGGAGCTTGATCTTGGCAGCCGGGCCACTTTGGAGGAGTTCGGAGCGCTGGTCTTCACAGTCAGCGCAGAGCAGAAGGAAGAGAGAGGCTTGATGGACGCCGCTGCAGCTGCTGCTCCTCCTCTGCTCTTCATTGTTCTCTGCCGCATGAACTGCTGTTGTTTGCCTTGGAGTAAGCGGAATATGGACTGAACCCTCCAGTAACTGTGAGCTAAATAAACCTTTCCTTCCTTCATTTTGAGTGTCGGGTATTTGTCCCAGCAACAAGTAAAAAGTAACTAAGACAATGACCCTACCCAAATCCTAATGACCTTGATAAAGACATTACAAAAAAAAAAGAAAATTATAGACCTATCTCTCTCACAAAACAATCTAAAACCCTTAATAAATTTTAGTAAATCCGACCTAGCCACTTATAAAAAGGCATATCATGAACAAGTAGAGTTTATCACAGTAATTGAAGGTTGGTTTAACTTCCGAGAATCCAGATGTGCTACACACCTGGACTCCTAGCACTCTATGAGACTGAGGCAGACAGATCCCATGTTTGAACCTAGCCTGAACTTACAGTCATCCTGATATATGCCAGAAGCCAGGCATAAGAGGCATATACTATGAGTCTACTCCTATAAAACTCTAAAGCTGTACAGTTTAGTGCACTTCCATGTACCTTAATAAACTTAAAATCATCTAAGAAAGGAGTTCTGAGAGTCAGAATTTGCACAACTAATTAGCAGACACGGGCACATCAGCGGCATGGTCATCAGTGTTGCAAGTGGCCTTCTATCCAGGCAGTCTCACTTCCTCCTCCCCTATCTCCAAGCCTGTGCCATGCCCCAGCTGTGCCTCCACGACCTCAGATGTTCCTTCCCAGACACTCGCAACCTTTGGCTTCTCTCGCCAGCTCCCCAAACAAGGTCCCGGTGCACCGGCTGCTGCCAGGCAGGCAGTGAGCATGCTGGGGAGGGGGCACTGACAGCTGCACCAGCAACAGCCAGCCGACACCACTTCACCAGAGGAGAACAGGACACAGCTTTCTACCCAGAAGGAAATCATTTGCAGATGTTCAAATCCCAGATTACACCACTAGCAGAAGGTAGAAACAAACCGCAGGCCGATTCGCAGAGAAGAGAACTCCACCCCCACCCAAAAGCGAAGCGCAGCTCTGCAGACTAGGAAAGCAGCTGCTTCACTGATCCCAGGAGGAGGACAGAGTGGGCCAGAAAATTCCAAACTGCTTAAACTTTTTGACTCTTCTTGCCTTATCTAACTCCTTTACCTGAATATGTTATGTTCTCCCCCATTATGTGTATGGTATACACACACACACACACACACACACACACACACACACACGCACGCACGCACACACAGTCTCTGAGTCTCACACCTCTCATATGGAGAGATGTAAGCCCTGTCACTCATGAGATAAGATGTGTAGCAGGCTCTGTAGCTGCAGAGAACCAAACAAATGCTGGGGATTGAGACTGCTTTACAAAGTACAGACCTAAATATGCAGATGTGCGCACCACATCCCTGGAAAGGAGCACCACGAGGACGAAGGCCATGTCCAGTGCCTCCTGAGACCTCCATACCACATCTGACATTCTGCCCAGCAACTTCCCACCCAGTGCCCCGCTGAGCGTTAAGCAATGGGTCCCCAGCATCCTTGGGGTCACCGCTAAAAGTAACCCCTGCAGGATGCGAACCGATGCACCTTCAGCTATATAAATTAAGATAGTCTACTGATAAGCAGCTCTCCAAGTCCGGGAATTCGCCAATGTCCAAGGCTGAATGAACATCTCAAGGCCGGAGAAGTCACTGCGCCTTCTGCATAGATAGGCCCAACTGGCGCTCAAGGGTGGAAACCAGTTACAGAGCTGGACAGCAGAGCAGCATGCTTCCACAGCACTGAGTGGGAAGATAGAGCCCTTGCGGTAGGCCTCAAGCTTCAACAGCTTGCAGACAAAGAGGAAAAATAACCACTTTCAGACCCAGTGCCACTACAGCTCCATTACATCCACTGACATACTCGCCAACTGTTTATGCAGCGTTTGCTATATGCCAAGTACTGGTAGGCCCCGAGGTTACAAATGTAAGCAAAACAAGCATGGGCTTTGCCCTCATGGGGGAGCATACGCATGACAATCTGGTCAAATTCACAGTTATTTTTTAAAAAGCAAAAAGGTCTGGTTTTGTTTAAAGCAACATTTTGGCAGAATCACATCCACACTATAAGGTATAAATACAAATCAGGACAGCTGGCTTTCACCTGTGGCTTTGGGTCCCTCATTGTATTATAGCCCTCCCGAGCATCACAGGCCTCCACCAGGAACCCGTGTGTCCCTGACACACTGGGCCACAATGCACACTCTCACAGACAAGCTGCAAGGGGTAGGGGGCTGACCTCTCGCCACCTGGCTCCCGCACTGCTAGAGATGTACACGTTGGTCTTGCTTGCCAGGTTTTTTCCCACTGAGCCTAAAATGAAAGTAGAAGGGTTATTTTTCATGTCAAGACTATGTCAGAGAATCACCTTGTCCAACCAGAAATTCTGAATAGTATCTGGCAACTAAGAGTGTCCTAAAACCACAAAGAGTGGTCGCTGCCAGAAATGTGTGCGAGCATGCTTTAGCTGGCTACACAGGAGACCACCGAAGCCCCCCTGAGGCAAAGGCTGAGTGCACTTACCTGTGGCAATGATGAGCCCAGGGGCTGACTCCTTGGACAAGATGGGCATCCTCCGCAGCTGGAGGTTGAGCAGCTGACTCAGACGCTGGGCCAGGTGCAGGGAACAGCCCTGGGAAAGCTACCCAAAGCAAAGGCCAGACAACATCAGCATGCACCCCAATGTACAGGTCTCCTCAATTCCAGCATCCTGCGTGAGGACCTCATAGTTTGACCCAGAACAAGGAGGCCTGGCCCAGAGAAAACCAGACTCTCAGCCTAGCTGTCTCCACACTGTACTAACCAGATGGAGTGGATCATCTGAACCCCGTAAGTGTCTATCACTGAAGAGAAGAGGAAAAATATCTTTAAAACTCCTAGGACTCTGAAGGAATAACAATTATAAATCAATGTCAACTCAAGCAGATAGAAAAGGGTCCCCTCACCCCAACACCCAGATATCCTCTCCAGGGACTTAAAGCTAAAGAGAAATGAAATGATGTCATGATATTTTCTAAATCAGTAGACATGTGTACCCAATACAATTCCAGCAATTCTGTCAGAAGATATGAACACCACAGCAGTCACATTAAATGTTTAAAGGAGTGTTCTACATTTTACACAAACATGTGGTGGTATGGAGCAAGGGGCCAAGTTATTTAAGCTGACCTCCAATTAGTTACATCTAGATTTTAACAGTTCTCTGCAAATCACCAGGATAGCACTTTTTGGTTGTTGCAAGGTCTCACTATGCAGCTAGGACTCATGGGGATCCCCCTGTTTTCAGCCTCCCCAGCACTACTACACCTGGACTGTGGCTGGCTCAGCCTGCCCTGGTGTCAGGGCTGGCACATCATGCAGTGTCGGGGATTGAACCGTGGTCCCTCCATTTGCCTAAGCTTGCCAGGCACTTTAGTCCACTGATCTATCTCACCAGCCCAGAGGCTAGCATTTTGATACATGCTAACCTGATACATGCTCACGTCTGATTCTCTCAACCAGAAAGTGGTAGCTCAAGGTCATTAAGACTCACCCAGAATTCTCACAGAATGTTTGCATGTCTTTGTGGCAAAGATTAAAAACCAGAACAAGGTCGGATTTACTTTATAGCAAATATCTACCTTGCTAGCTTCCTGGTTTGGCTAATGAAAATTGGAAAAAATTAGACTGAATCTCAAAGAACTTTTTACTTGCCCCCTCTCCTCTTTTCATTCATGCTTATTGGCCCAGAAGTCTGTTCATGAAGGCATTTCTGTATCTTCGGTCAGATTTTAGCCATCCCTATAAATTCTTTTCAGTTTGTTATACTTTGAAGCTGAACTGTTTCCTAAGGACTATGTGCTAAAACCTTGGTTGACAGGCTATGGTACAAATAGGTAGTAGAACCTAGTGTAAAGAAGTCATAGCATTGGGATGTGTCCTTGAAGGGGTCAGGGGGACTCCACCCCTTCTGTTTTCTCTGCTTCCCAGCTGCCATGATGTCAGCAGCTTTGCTCCTCTCAGTACTCTTCAACCATGATACTGTTTTGTCACAGGCCCAAAGGGGGCCAAGCAACCATGAGCCAAAATAAATTCCTATACCTTATAAATCAATCTTTCTTTGGTATTTTGTCCCACTGATGGGAATCTAACACACCACCTAAATTCAAAAGTACAAAGTAAAGGCTTATTAATTATCCTGCAGTTCACGAACTGATCAGTCCAGGAAATAAAAGACTAAACCATATGATTAATTGTATTTAACCAAGCTCTGACTCCCATGGCAGGCTAACAAAAGGCCCATCTACAGCAGGGTCAAGCTAAACTGCTGAGGTCATAAGATACTGTTGGAAGGCAGGCTAAGTAGCTGGATTTAGTTACGTCTTTCTTTAGCCTGGTGATTTCCAAAATTAGAATCAATGCGGTAAACCTGTTACCAAAGGAGCATGAAAAGTCAAGAGGTACCTTCTTGGGCAAGAATCTCCAAAAGAATTTTCCCAAATGCCCCAGGTAAAGAATACAGAAAGGTCACTATCACTGATAAATTCAAAAATCCTAAAGACCAATTGCCTAACTAAATGTTACAGGTTAGTTACTAAAATGTTACAGTTTCTCCCCAAATGAGAACGGCTTATTTTCTGAGTTTCTTCTGTTCACATCCTAGACTTCTTACACAAAATAGGAACAAAGTAAGGCCCAGAAAGCGAAAGGCACCATCCATAAGCTATTTAGAGTTCCGGGAGTACTTAAAGGACCAATCATACATTTTGATAATCTTAGTATTTTTAGATAGGCCTATCTGCAGGAAGACCTACAATCCTGAGTTACATTCAGAGAAGAATTTCGAAACTAGTGCCACAGAAATACCAACTGATACAAAAGATTCCCAAATAATACAGACTTGAAACACAACTAGTGCTTCAGTAATGCTTTATAGCGGAACAAATGGCAACATATGTTCTTTACATTGATACGGCCAACCGACTTATCACATATACATGACCTAATAACTTAGCATGTTTGAAACAACAGTATATATCAACCAGAATTTTAAATAATCACAATTACTGTTTGTGATAATAGGATGTAACTTTGGAATTGGATAGGATGCTACCACCCTCATTTGCTAGTCCACCCTCATACTTTCATTTTTTCCCCCTATTGCAGCAACTTCTGAAAGATTCAACTTCCTAAAAATACAGTGTCTTCAGATCTGAACAACTAATTTGAAGACAACAATATACAATATAGCAACCACTGCTGAATCCTATCATCTTGTTTAGTAAAATTCTATGTGTTTTATTATTTTGTTATTCTCCTTAAAAAAATAAAAATAGTAAAAATAAAGACATAATGTCTTCAAAAGAAAAACAGCATGACCTGATGTGGAAACTGTGAACTAATTCACGCTAGCTACTTTGAACATTCACATGAGCTAACAGATGTTTAGTATCGTGGCAGTTCCTTCAAAACTTTAAAATATGGGGCTGGGAGAGTAGCTTATGGTAAAACATATGCTTGGCATGTACAAGGCCCTGGGTTCATTCCCAGGCATTAAAACAGCCCATGTGTTTACATATCCCATTGCTGCCCTGTGAGTTCACTACTGCACTATACAATGCCTCAGTGCACAGTCTGGGGCCAGCAAAGGTGGGAATACAGATCCACATTTGTTTTACATGATATTATGAGAGGACTATGTGACCTCCCATGTTCCTAGGAAGTATTAGCCATAGGAAACCCCTGCAGATCAAAGCTCCTTTCCTTGTATTAGAAAGCCAAACAAGATTGAAGCATCCATACCTCACAATTGATTTTCTCTCCATATTCTGTGAAAGCTGGAGCTTGGATAAATTCCCAAGTTCCTCCCTTGTCAAAGGTGATGACCGATCTCATGTTCTCCTCATTCATGGAACCATTGATCAGAGTAGCAATGTAGACCCCTTGTAACCCTTCAACACGATGGAAGTCTGCAAACGGCTCATTTGCAAAATACCTGCAGTATGAGAAAACAAACAGCTGTGAGCCTCAACATGATAATTTCCTTGGCTTTTTACAGAGATCATATATAACATAAAATTTAACCATTTTGAAGTACAAATTTCAGGGAAGCGTTTATTCCATTGAGCCATCTCCTGGCCTCCTGAAGTACAAATTTCAGTAGCAGTGAGCACACTCACAATGATGCACAACCACCATCTCCTCTAGTGTTAGAACTTTCCTACCACTGGCACTCGCTGTACATTTGTCCTTCCTTTCCTGGGCCTTAGAAAACACTGATCTTCTTTCTACTGCTATGGGTGTGCTGAGTCTGACTATTTCATATAAATGGAATCACATAATACGTGGTCTTGTATATCCGGTTGCTTCACTTAAATTATTTTCAAGGTTCACCCATCTTGTAGCATACAGTATACTTTGTCCCTTTTTATGGATAAATAATCTGCTCTTTAAAACAGTGATTTTCTTTTAACTTTGAAGGCCAAGACGCTTTCCTGATGAGTAACTCTTAACCAGGGGTTTAGAATGATAAAGTTATGTGCAAAAGTTGACAGAGCGTCACAACTCTTTCTTCACCATGGAAGTTGACCTAACTCTTCCTGTGAGCCTTGACAAAGAGGAAATATCACACTGGACTCGCAGTACACAAATAACAATGCTGAGGCCTAAAATTCAACTCAATCTGTAGAAAAATATAGCACAGGATTACAATTACTACACAAGTACTTACACCCTAATTATCAAACACCTTCATCATACAGATGTCCACAGAAGCCCCGCAACATGAAGACTGCTTCCCAAAGACGCAATCCATAGAGCAAGGATAGCTCTAGAAAGCCTGAGCTTGTATTTTGGAACAGGGAAGCAGAGAACAAGACCTGCAGCTGTAGCTGCTACACTGGCCTACTGTGCTTTCACTGGAAAAGAGTTTGTACTAAAACGGTACAAACATTACAAATATAACAAATTTCTGGGAAATAGTAACCATGGTTCCCACATGGCTCTTAAAATTGGAGCTCTGCCCTTTATTTCCGGGGTTCTGAGCCACTGGCCTACACAGTGAAGCAGAGAATTGCTTTTTTCCATCAGAAGCCATACAAATCTCCTGAGCCGGCTGATTGCTCTGCCACCTCAGACAGGGAGACACACAACAACCTCTGAGGCAGAAAACAGGAAATAAGCAGCCGCGCCAACAAAGCCACTTGGGAATGACAGACTGAGCAAAATCCTAAATAAAACGCCAGAATTGAGTCCAAATTCTCTGGCATCAGATTCTTTAGGTCTCTCTTAGTTATTTTTTAGGTGTTGCCAGAGGAAGTATCTGAGGGTCTCTCGCCTGCCTGCTGTCTATTTACCTCAACATGCCTGCCTTTTTGTTATCACAAGATCTGCCATTCTGAGGTTTATCAGCTTCTTCCCCACATCTGAGAGGCCTGAGTTTCTCCTGGTTAGATAAGCCCTATTTTTTCAGTTGGTCATACTCCTGGAGTTTTATCCTTTACTTCTAAACCAAAGACTCTTCTTGTACCTCACAATCTGCCTACATTACTCTCCTCTCATCCTTTTACTTCCTCCCTTGACTGGTCTCCTTCCCTCAGTATACTTTAAGAATCCCCTTTCTTCCCTCTTATCCTCAGCAGAGCACTTCTTTTTTTCCCAGAGTGCCCTGGGCCAAGATTTGCCAGGTAGTTTACCAAGTTCCCCTTCAGCCGTACTGAGTACAAATCTAGTCACCGGCAGCCATTCCCACCCACAGAGCCCGTGTTCCTCTGTAAGATGCCCTCATGGGCTTGACATGTCCTCAGTTCATCGGCGCCTCAAAAATGTCCCACATCTAGCGTCAACATTTCATGAGATTCCTATGCACACATCTCACAAATTCCTGGGTAATCCCTATTAAGAGTTCTTCCTCCATTTCTCTAAGAAAATTAGAACCAGTTCCTCCAGCTCATTTCAAAGACCACAGAAGTTGGTTTAAACTAGACTGCTCACGTCATCTAATTCACGCTTATCCCGTTTCATCTGGCTGAGCCTGAGAGACAGATGACAAAAGATCATTCCTTTGAGTACAACCAAACCCCTGCAGTCTGAGATAAAAATCTGAGAGTCAGAAAACTGTGCAGGATGCTGGTCTGTTTGTATGACTCTATTTTCAATTCCTTAACCGGACTGCATACTCAGGCAGAGTGAGAGGAAACGTCATCACCTAACAGGCTGTGCATATGTGTGTAGTGGGCCTGTGGTCACTAGCTGGGGTCACTGCTTCCTAGGGAACCTCTCTCCCCACCTTCTGGCTCTTCCACTGCCCTCCCATAAGGTATTCATCTAAGTACCCGGCAAATGAAGAAGATGAAGAAAATGTTGGTAATCTGTGACTTATCTACTCCATAGCCAGAGGCTCTAGACAGTAGGAAAAAGAGTTAGTGAAAGACCCAGAGTATAATGGTTCATGGATTTTAATTATAAAATGTAAAGATAATAGTATTCCCTTATAAAAATGAATGAGGTACTGATATACACTGCATGCATATGAGTCATGCAAATATTATGCTAAATGAAAGAAACAGAAAGACACAGAAACTTGCATATTATTGCATAATTCCATTTACATAAAACAGCCAAGGAAGGAAAATGTACAAAGTCAAACACTAAACTGATGGCCAATCGGGTGTGGTGGCCCACACCAGAGGAGGCTGAGGTGGGAGGACTACAGGGAGCTTCAAGGTGAGCCTGAATTACAAAGAGAGACTCTGTTTCAAAGAAAGAAAAGATAATAAAAGAAATTAAATTGCTAGCTGCCTGTGGGGTGGGGGGAGGGGACAGTGGGGGAAAAAAACCTGTTTAATGAGTATGAGATTTTCTTTTGGAGAAAACATTCTGGAATTGATAAAGGTGGTTGTTACAGCTTATATTCAAATGTTCCCCCAAAGAGCCTCATAGGCTCAAAGCTAAGGCTCTTGGAAGGTAGCTGAACCATCAGGCAATACAACAGCTGACTTGCTACTGGGCAGTGGAGCGTGGGTGGCAGAGGCAGGGTGCTAGGGGCCGACCTGGAAGTGATTGTTTCCCTTGCAGCTCGGCCCTTTGATCTCTGCCTCCTGGCTACAGTGACACCAGCCCCTTTTTTCTGCCCAGGTCCTCTGCCACACTGCTTCTGTGTTTAAGCCAGCCAACCACTGACTGAAACTTCTGAACTCTGAGGCAGAACAAAACTCTGCTCCTTTAATGGAGCTAAAGTCAGCTACTGACTCCAAGCAGTGAAAAAGTGACTGCGACAGCGGTGCTTTGTGCAACTTGGTCACAGTCCTGAACACCACTGAATGGTTTGCTTTAAAATAGCTAAGCTGATGTTATGTGAATTTCACCTCAACAAGTTATGTTTTAAAAAACAATAAAAAGACACGGGAACCAACCTGAAGAAGCTAGGTGAAACCAAATCAGAACAAACCAGAATAACCTGAATAACAAGATGAACCATGACAGGAATGGCTTACAACATATTAAATAAAAATAACCCATGAGTCTATATTAGGAAGAGGGAAAAAAAAAATGGATGAAAAACAGCAGTACCTTCGAAGGAGAAGAAACAGGAAGGAGAAACACACTACTGGAGACTAGGTAACTCTAATAAGTGCAATGATATCTAATAGCTCCATCTAATAAATCCATAACCAAATTCATATCTCTCCCCTGGACACATTCCTCTCCTAGCTGTCCTGAGGTAACCCGGTGGGGGTTCCCTGGCTACCTTATCCCATGCATTGTCGAGTCCTTCAGCAAATCTACTGGCTCTAGTTTGAAAATCTATTTAGAATCAAAACACTTTGGTAATCTCCACTGATCAAATCTTCCTATTCTAACCTTGCCTCTCCTTCAGTCGATTTTCCATGGAGCACTGAGAGTAATGTCTATAAAAAGATGAGACACGTAGCTGTTCACTCGGAATTATTTATAATACTTATTTTATTTACTTATTTTTGGCGGAACCAGGGATTGAACTCAGGCCCTTGTGTTTGCCAGGCAAGCGCTTATTCTACTGAGCCATCTCCCGGGCCCTACTTATAATACTTATAGCCACTGATGTTTTCTGTACTTTTTCCTTATGTGATGCAATTTGTTTCTGTTTTTGTTTTTTGGGTGTTTTTTTTTTTTTTTTTTTTGTATTTTAGGGAAGGGTCTACAGGGTGTTCAGGGTCTCACTACTAGATTGGACTCCTAGTGATCTGCCTGTTTACAGTCTCCCAAGAGCTGGGATTACAGGCACATGACCGCCACGCCCAATCTCAATTGCCAGTCTCAGTGCTCCTTGGGGGCGGGGCCAGCATGGCAGGCCCAAGGATCCAACCCCTGGCCCCTGCGCATGGTTGCAGGTGCTTTAATCCATTGAGTTATTTGGCCGGTCCTATGTGATGCAATTTGTAAACAGAAAAAAAATCAAGAAGATAGGTCAAATGGTATCTATTTCACTCATTTAAAAAGTACAGTAATTTCTTTTCCTGCCCTTGGCAGCCCTACACCACCAGAGTCCTGTTCTCTGCAGTTCTGTTACCTCCTCCTCTCTGCTCTCCAGGGGCTGGGAGCACCACGCCTCTGCCCTGCTCCACAGGCACAACCCAGCAGGCCCAGCTCTGTCACTGTGCTTGCTGGCCCTCTGCCTGCAGGGTTCTCCCCATGGTGTCTCCTTTCCTGGCTGGCATTCTCCTTCCCATAACTCAGAAACCTGCTTAAACATACCTTCCTGGAACTACCGATATAAGCTCACACCCTCGTAATTTGCGCCATCCTTGTCTGGCTTTATGTTTCTGCCCAGTGGATCACACATTGGTCTGGCCTCTGTTTCCCTCCAGTTAGAACACAAGCTCCACAGAGCAGGAGCTTTGATGTCTCACTGCCAACTACACAACCTGGTTGCTAAATCTAGAATCCTACTGAGCACAGAGCAGCAACACGCAGTGGACAGAATGGACGCATGACCAGCACGGGGAAGGGTGTGAGCAGCTGGCACATGTCCTCTGACCTGCTGAGTGTGGCTGCAGACAGGACCTCACCCCAGACCAGAGAGTGTCACACAGACTACCCTTTCCAACAGCAGAAAATGAACCTGCCAGTCACACTGAGTCATCGGATGACAATTCCAACTTATAGCACTCAAAGGATCTTAGAAACCTGCTCATCCCTGCTGAACCCCGACTCCTACTCAGCCCTTTGACAGCTATGCTGCTCAGAGAACACGCTTGGCTGGGACTACAAAACTGCTCCACGCACTTCATTTACAGATAAAGGATCCATGGTGCCTGTGCCTGGCCTACAAAACAAGGTCTTGCAATTATCCTTTTTTTTTTTTTTTTTTTTTTTTTTTTGCGGAACCGGGGATTGAACTCAGGTCCTTGCACTTGCCAGGGAAGCACTTATTCCACTGAGCCATCTCCCCGGCCCCTGCAATTATCTTTTACAAAGGGAGAGATGTTGGCAATTAACCCACATCACTTGGAGGCGAGACTCCACGGCCACATGTGCCAGCTCTCTGTCTCCCTAGCTTGATATTTTCCAAGTGCCATTTCTCATTGGCTCAGAGACCACAGAAACCAGATAACTGAATGGAGCAGCCCAAGGGAGTGGTTAACAGAGCATTTGCGACCCTGAATGTCATCTAGAACAGCGGCTTTAGCCTTGGCTGCACATAAGGATCACCTGGGGAGGTTTTGAAACTCTTCAAATCTAAGCTTTGCCTCAAACTAATTTAACTGAAATCTCTGGGCACACGAGTCAGGTATCATGGCTCTAAAAGCCCCCAGGGCAGTCCCCGTGTGCAGTAGATATCAGAAAACATGTGCTATGGTGTAAATATGAAGTTTCCAGCTGGGACGCACTTCATGAGGCCCTGGGTTGAATGCCCAGCAATGCCAAAAAACTGATCCCCAAAAGCCTCCTGTATTGAGAGCCTGATTCTCAACGCAACAGTGTCACAGGTGACTGGATGGTGAGGGAACGGCCCGCATCAGTGGCTCAATGCATTGAGGAGAGCGCAGCAGAGGAAGGCCTTGGTTGGAGGGAGTAAGTCACTGGGGACATGGCTTCCTCTCGTGTCATATCGCAGTTGCTATCAGGTAAGCAGTTTCACTTCACCACACCTTTCTCCCTTGCTGCTCCACCCCAGCTCAGGTCCACAGGAACAGAATCAGTACAATCAGCCGACTCGCTGAAGTCTCTGAAACCACCAGTCAAAAAACAACGCATCCTGGCCAGGGATATAGCTCAATGATATAGCCCTTCTCAGGCAAGCTTGAGGTCATGGAGTTCAATGCCTGGTACTAAAACCAAACCATCTTCCTTTAAGTTGACTTTCCCAGGAATTTTCTCACAATAGCAGCAAATTAATGAACACAGAAAAAACTGAACTAGAAGTGTCTGGTGGCCATGTTGATCTAAGGAGGCTGGGGAGGGGCCCACAAGCTCCTTACCTCACTAGTGTGTCACTGCCGGCACCTCCCGGGCTGTAATACAGCACGTTCTCCAAGGACAGAGAGAACTTCAGCCCCTCTGCCTCTGAGATATATAAATTGGTGCGATTGTTACTGTGACTGACACATACAAAGACCTGGTCCTCCGAGGCATCTGCGATGTAATATTCCTGTGGAATCAAAATTCAAGAATACGTAAGTCAAAAAATGATTATGCCTCATAGATTTATTCTGCAAATATTAAAGCAATGACTTCCAAATGTCCCTGTGACACAAGTGAGCAAAAGCCCACAGAAAAGTCCCCAACTTTGACAAACAAGCTTGGATGACTTCCCATTCAGAGAACCTGAGGCTGCTCTACAGCTGGGCCAGAGCCTTTACAGGGCACACACACAAAAAAACTGGAATCCAAACTTCAAAAAAGACCTATAAACCTCTCTTTGAGTATTAATACCTTCCTCTTTGACTCAATGAGCTTTTCTTTAGTACAAAATATAATACAGATTACTGTGTATTTCATTTCCTTTTCTTTCCCTTAAAGTGACTTAAAGGAAGGCAGAACCTACAGAAAGGGGAAAGAACTGATAGGACTGTTTTCCATCACACTCCCCTCTGAGCCACTAACTGTCCACCAAATACCTGTGAAGTCCAAGGTCCTCCATGGGACCTCCTCGCACAGTCACTTCCCTGATATTCTTTCCCTACACTGCTCTTTCCTATCAGTCTCTGAGTTATAACGCTGCATGTTTAAGATCTGACTTTGGTGTATTCCTCTGCTCCATTCTTGGTCTCTCCAATCTGTTTCTCAAAGGTAGGTGTCTCCAAATCTGTCCCCTTTTGGAGCCCAGCTACCTGCAAGCAGTACAGCCGATACTCAATAAGTATGTGCTTAGTCACACGCTTCCTACCACTTCAGCCCTGTCATGTGAGGCACTGACTCATACTATCCCTCTGCCAGTCTTATTCCACTTCAAACAATGAAATAGGCAATAACAGACAACATGCCCAAAGCACTAATGGCTCTTCCTAGAGCCTTCTCTGGAAAAGGACTTCAAGGACCCTTTCTAAAATATCCACCCCAACACAACAGCACCCATCCCATTCCCCAATCTTTGAGGGGGTCAGTAAGATTTCTTCCCAACCTCTAGCAGACCTCACTTACATTAATAGGATGTCTTGTGACAAACTGGGCTGCCCGCATGGGCTTTCGGCCAAAGGAGACCCAGAGCTGGACAGAAGACTGCTGGTGATTGCCCAGCAGATGCTGCCAAGGAGAAAGAAAAAAAAGAATTGTGTCAAATGACAGCTGTGCAACACAACTGCAGAAGGAAACGAGTTACACCTCTTTTTTTTTAATGGTAATAAATTGAAGGTAAACTTTATTTTTTCTTTTTGCAAGCATTTATTGAGCATCTTTTATCTTTTTTTCCCCATAATTTTATTGAGAAACAAATAGCAATGAGACAGTTTCAAACCAAATTGGTAGGACAGTTTCAATAATTAACACATTGCATACATTCTTCCTAGTGGTTAATTGCTATACAAGATGCGGACTTGATATCCTATTTACAAACACCATTAGAGCAAATCCCTCTATTCATTAAGAGAATGTAACTATATAACTATCCTAACCACTTTGAATACACAGATACAAAATGGACATTCATCTGTATCTCCTTTTACTGTTTACTTCTGTTATTTGAATATTATAGGTGTGTTAACTCAGCAAAATATTCTAAGAGAGTCCAGTAGTCCATAACAGTATTGGGTCTTCCGCTAGACTGGCAATGTCAGAAATTGTTGACCTGAGTCCCCTACAGCTCAATATAACAGCATGGCTTTACTTCTTATACTCATTTTTATACTCTTCTGACAAGTTACACCTCTTAATTCCACTGGAAACACAAAATAGAGACAATGGCTACAAATTCATACTTTTGCAATGACCATCCTCACTGGGCAGCCTGGGCTGGGCTGTTTTGTGCTGGATGGCTGGTCTGCCATAGATACTAGACATTAGATAGGAAGGACAAAGGTAGGATGGGAGAACCTGGGCTTGTGCGGGGCACTGGACACACCAGTGCCTAGGAAGGACGAGAACAGATGAGAGAGTTGTGGGACACGGCTGAGGAGAGGGAGGGCAGATCCCACAGCCCCCCAACTAGTCCAGATGAGATCAGTCACTGGGAAAACATGGCTTTCTACACATATTTTTTCTTTTTTTAAGTCATAAGGCTTAAGGGACTTCTCAGTGATACTACTTCCTACTCTCTGAGTAAAATCCCTTGCTGGAATAAATATGCTTTGATAGAGCAGAATATCTAACAT